AATCTCGTGTTTCTTATGACTGCAGTCAAACAACTCACGAATATATGATATAGTCCAGAAGTAGCAGACTCTCTAGGCCCCCAACGAGTCCATTTCTCATTGTAAAAGAATGGACACCGGCCGGCATCGAGTCGTTCGAGTACACGAGTACGTTGAAGGAGTAATTTGTGTTGCCGTTGGCCGTCTGTGATAAACTCCCTACCAGGTCCCCGTCGATGAAAAATGACATCTCAGAGTTGCCGAGCGGCTTTATGTAGGAGCCTGTGGTAATGCAGTACACATATATCGCAGATCCTAAGAGAAAAAATGACTAGGTTGATTTTAGTCGCGTAAACGACAACAATGTATACACTCGCCATTGAACTCTAGTGAAGCCGTTTTGATGTCATGTTCGTCTGCTCCTCGCAAGAAGGTGGAATCATGCCAAGTCCCTGCGAAAGCCTCGTCGGGATTTGGGTGAGCGGTGCATGTAAGACAGTCCTCCCCAATGTGCCATGAATTGAGTGGCGTATAAGTGATTCGAGGCACGCCGTTGTTGAATTCAGAGTCGTCAACTGTGATGTTGACGAGTGACGCCGACACAACAAGCGAGAAGAGCAGACAGACGAGCGCAAAAGTTACGAAGTCAAGCTGAAGCGCCCGTCGGGTGGGCATAGAGAGCGAGAGGGTGTCACCAATGCTAGTAGTGGCGCGGGGTGTGAGGAGAGCAGAGAAACAGAAAGGAGCGTCGGGAAGGTGAAAAGACAGCAGGAAGGGCCGAAGGAAGTGCAAGTTAAGAAGAAGGACGAGCAATGGGAACAAGGCCTTGAGTGCACCGGTGGTGTGCCAACCAACGGGCGAACACTGCGGCCTTAGCAACCTGCGGAGAGCCAGGAACAGTGGTTTAGACATTCGCTGTGCCCCGCAACTATATCTGCCGCACGGAACAGCCAGAGGTACCATGGCGAGTTGACAGCTCCGAGGCATCAAGACGATCTATCATCAAGGAATATTTGCTCGTCCAAGAATGCGCTCCGCTTCCCGCGACTGATGTACGTGGTACCGAGACGAGTGTGGCCTCGTTGTCGCTCGCATGTCGCTGTCGTTGCTGTACGAGTCCCCATGGACGAGTAAGGTGGGAACATGTTCAGCCTCACATGCCTGCAAAGTACCTCTGCCAACGCAAAGTCCAGGATTGCGGCAGAGGGCTGTAGAGCGTGGCGGTGTAGACCTGTCCGCTTGAGATGTCTGTGCTAATCACGCTGTCAGACAGATAGACGTCGTCGAAAGTCAAGATGATACAAAGCTTACCTCAGAGCCATCTTGACGAGGTCGGCGGACATGCTGCATCACCGTCAGATTGGAGGCTGCGTTGTGGCTGCACAGAGTTGAGGCGAGCAAAGAACATCTACCTGCGGAACATCTCCACCGCTTCTCGCAGTCCGGGTTTCACGAAACCGGTCTCCAGTACTGGCAATCTTTCTGCTATTACTTCCGGCGGGGTATGGCGACTATGTAATGCTCTAAGTGAATGGGTAAATAACGTCCATAATAGAACGAGTGCGTGCAAGGCCACCGTAAAATAAAATATAAACACTGGTTCTACGCGCTACAAGACTACTGTCTGGGAGTAACCTTGAGCAGACAGCCATCCTTAGGGAAAAGAGTCGCGATAATCTGCACCTTGTCGCTCTCGGGAGTAGTGACGTGCTCCCAATTCATCAGCACCGCCGCGTCAGCGAGGACAAGACCAATGTTCATCATGGCATACTCCAATCCAATGCACTTGTGAGGACCACTGCCAAACGTGAGGTAGTTCTTCGGGTTGGTGTTCGCAAGGCTCTGGGGATCCAACCACCGCTCCGGCAAAAAGGAATCCGGATCAGGATACACTTCTGGATCGTGCAGCGCGTTGTAAAAGGATGGGATGACCATGCTGCCGGCAGGAACGGTGTAGTCTGAGCTGATAGGGAATGCCTTGAGAGTCTTGTAGGGAACCATGGTCACCGGAGGCTTGACGCGCAAAGTTTCCTTAACCATAGCACGAAGATAGGGCATGTCATCCATCATCTCCAACGTCAAGGGCTTTTCGTAGTCGCCGCCTCGAACGCGCTCTTGCTCCTCCCTGACCTTCTGGAGAATCTCGGGGTGGTCAGCAAGATGTTGAAAGCCGTAGATCAAGCCACTGCTCATAGCGTCCTGACTAGCGAAGAGGAACGAGAAAACGACCATGGCCATCTCGTTGTCAGTGAAGTCCTTCCTGCCCTTGTACGACGGCTCGTTCAAATTGTACACCCATTCCTCCAACATGCACTCCGGGGCGTGACCAGCAGCGATGCTCTCCTTCGACTTGCGCGCAGCAAACTCGAGCCACTGCATGGCAACCTTGCGGGCCTGAATGGCGCGATAGACCTTCGTACCAGGGATGGCAAGAGGGAAGTTGACAAGCTCGAGGGCACGAGTGATGTCCCAGTATTTTTCATTAATCTCTTTCGCAGCGTGTTCGGGGATGTGATTGCCGCAGAAGACGCGAAGAGACGTCTCCATGTTAAGGTCACGTGCCGTCATCATGATGGGTCTCGGTTTCATGTCCTTAGCAGCATCCGCGAGCCATTGCGCAAAGTGCTTGCGGGTGATGGCGTCCTGGATACCAATATAAAGACTGCGATATGGTGAGCAAAATTCTCACGCAGTACGCAAAACGGCATCAGGCGTACCCAAGGGCCTTGCGTGTGAACAGAGAGTTGAGACCACGACGATATTCAACGTGCTCCTTGCCAGTAAGGAATACCCTACGTGGAAGAGTATCGAGTCAGACTTCATGTGATTAGGAAGGTACGAGTGAGAATATTGCACACCAGTTCTCAGGTATCAGGACTTGCTTGGCAGAATGGACGAGGCATGGTTCAGCGTGGGTCGGCGAGTTCAGTATCTTGCGAGCATACTCGGTTGTGGAAGCCATGACAATGAAGCTACGATACGAGAATCACTCAGGCTCAAGCTTCGCACATGGTAGCCAAGAGTTTCACGTACATGTTGAAAACACTGAGGGCGCTGAGGGCGCCGGATTCCCACTGTTTCATATAACCCTCCATGGTGGGGTTGACAGAGTCCGCAAATTTGCCGATAAGAGGAATGGTCCATTTATCTCCAGGAAGGTGGCGCTTTTTGTACCTGTATACGGTCTGCTCGAGAGCAAGGAGGGCAAGGACGATGGCAGCGGTGGTGTAAAACCAGCTGCCCGATGGAAGGAGGTTGGGGAACGCTGGCAGAGCTTCCGACGGAGAGGAGGAGGACATTGACGAGGGATACGATGCTTTGATGGAAGCCATCGTTGAGAGGGGGTCGCAGTCGAGAGGAACGTGTGCGACGACGAGGGAGGATGTTGACGACAAGACGTTCGTGGGTGAGAACGACGTGATGCGCTGCCCTTCAAGTCTTTTCGATGCGCATTCTGATTGGCTGCAGCAAAAATCGGTCGATTTCGACGTGACAAATCATCTATGACTGTTTGCGTTCGGCCCGGAGTCGGAGCGCGGCCGCCATGCTTTGTGGCGTCCAGCATGTCCATTCTGATCATGACACGCCTTTGAATTCAGTAAATACTTACAATAAGTCCAAGATAACTACACGCCAAAGAAATACTTTGGAGTATGAAAATTCCGACCCTGCCAGACATCACAGACAGATGGGGTACCGGTCGGTCGAAGTTGCAGTGCCCCGGCTGCCACACTGGTGACACGTTTGATGGTTTATTAGCATTAAAGTGATGTTTACAAATTGTGAGGCTTCCCAAAACAGCTATAGAGGATGGCCCTATTGCACGTCGCGCTATACGTCTCACTTTCGGATTTCCTTCTTCACATCCGTCTTGAAGTCCTCCTTTCCTTCGCGTACACCGGCTGCAGCCTATCGTTGCTAATCAATTCGCCGTTCACACACACACAATATATATTGATTCATACCTGATTAGCTTTCTGGCCTGCGACATTGGCAGTTTTCTGCGTCTTGGAGGAAGCAGTGCCTGACAAGAGGTGAGCTGAGGATGATCAATTATGTAAATGAAAATAGGCGACTCATACCTATCGTCTCCTTAGTAGATGCTGTTACCTGTTCCCCTTTCTCGATGGTTGATGCGAGTCCACGTCCAGCGGATTTGTTGACCTGCAACACTGGCTCTGTGGAACGCTCATCGGAAATGGATACACGACTAGCTCACTTTATCTGCTACTTCCTTCACGCTAGAGCCACCTGTGTGACGAAGTGAGGGATGAATCATATGCACCTTGTATGATGCGACGTACCGACCGCCTCCTTGGTGGCTGCTGCTGCCTGCTCGCCTTTTTCAATCGCCGAGGCGAGAGTTTTACCGACTTTCAGGTTGACCTGCATATCGTTGTTGTCAGTTTTGAAGCATTGAACTGAGGATGTATAAAATTGGACACACATCACTTGCGGTTTCGGACACCGTTTTGGCAACAATGGGGGTTGTGTGGAAAGCTCGCCGGGAAGAAGAGGCGAGGACTGTCCGGGAGACTGAGGAGAATGTTGAGCGGATCATGGTGGTTCGCTACAGAGAATTGGGCGTGGTAGGTTCGCTGTGCAACAGCCGCCATCTTATATACTGGCGAGGAGTGAAGCATGCCTTGGTGACGTCGTCCGTGGCTAAAGTAATGGCTACGCATCGGTGGATCAATGAGTAGTGGATAGATGACGGTGGAGTTCATGCGCATGATGAGTATTGATAAGTAGCGCAATTAAATGGAATGCCCTTACGGTGCTATAGTGTAGTGGTTATCACTCAGGATTTTGATGTCATACTTTCCTGAAACCCAGGTTCGAACCCTGGTAGCACCTACATGATCATTTTTTGCCATGGCGCATGTTTTTGTGAGAGGTATTCGGGCGTGGTCACAACAAGAAGACAAGGACACGTATGCGTATAAAACAAATCAGTAATTGCCAAGGAGTTGCTCAAACCATGAGTAATGCTGTATTTCCAATAAAACACAACATTCCGTAGGCGCTACCAGGGCTCGAACCTGGGTTTCAGGAATTTGCGACATCAAAATCCTGAGTGATAACCACTACACTATAGTGCCTATACATACGTTGGTGGATTGAAACAATATATAGACATTGCCGGCTTAGGTCCCAAATTTCACCGCTTGAATGACTTGCTTGCAGACCCCGCATTCCGATACCATGGAGGCATTCCAGTTACTATCACGCGGAGGGGCCCTTTATGACAAGAAAAGGTTCAAGAGTGATGTCCAGCTATTCCAGGTATGTCGAGTTAGATCATTGGCCTGCTAATATGCTTATGGGCCAACATCTGTCATACAGAAAACGAAAGTAGGCAATAAGGGGAAAGAAGTCGCAGGTATCGACGACGCAGAGTTACCTGCAGAGCTTGATTTCTTCAAGTATGATCAAGGCGGCTCAAGTAAGCGGAAAGGCCTTATCGATAAGTCGGAGAAAGCAGCCAAGAAAGCGAGGGTTGCGGAGGAAGAGGCCGACGTTGAAGACGTGACGAAGAACACGTCGAGTTCTGCAATACCCCGGCAGCGTGTGACTGCGAAAGGGAACAATGTACCCCAGCGAGTAGACTCCTTTGAGGACTTGAGCACGCGGTATCGTGTCCCAGCGCAGTTACTTTCAAATGTAGCTAGCAGTGGCTACAATGAGCCAACAGGGATTCAGTCCCATGGCATTCCCATCCTCTTGGAGGTGTGTTCTAGTACGACACTTTGACTATTGGCTGGACCTTGACCTGCGTGTGACTTGTAGAAACGTGACCTTGCGGCCATCTCACCGACTGGTACTGGAAAAACTCTTGCTTACCTTCTCCCCTTAATGTCATTGCTCAATGCTCCAGCTGGAAAGTCTTCAGGAAGTCACACAGGTCCAGGCGTTCGAGCTGTCGTCCTTGCTCCCACCCGTGAATTAGCTCACCAAATACACAACGAGTGTTTGAAGCTGGCGCAGAAACAAAAATGGAGGATTGTACTGTTTAGCAAAGCAACGGCTGGCACCTTGGCGGACAAAGCTGTGAGGGACAAAGTCGGCAAGTCCTTTCTAAGACACGTTTGTGCCCACCTTCAGGCTAAGCGGAGGGATCTTTGCTAGACATCATTATTAGCACACCTCTTCGAATGGTCGCTGCAATGCAAGCGGGTAAGCTGGAGTTGGACAAGTAAGTTGTTTGCAGGTTTAATGTCCCTGGTGATCCCTCTCGTTCACCGCTTTTCTCAGCGTCCGACATATTATACTGGATGAGGCGGACCGCATGCTCGATGCAGAGTTTTTAGAGCAGGTTCAAGGAGTTGTCGCTGCATGTACACATCCCGAAGTGCAGAAAGCCGTCTTCAGTGCGACATTACCGGCGAATGCGGAAAAGATTGCGTTAGGTATGCTGCGAGACCCTATAAGGGTAGTCGTAGGACTCAAGTAAGTTTGTACCGATTCGCTCTCCGTACTGTAAAACTCAACCCATTCACACCAGGGATACACCGCTTCCGCTCATAGCTCAGTCGCTTACTTACGTTGCGGATGACTCGTCCAAACTCCCTACTCTCCTTCAGCATCTCTCACAGCCCTATAATCCTCCTATATTAGTATTTGTCTCAACTCAGCCTCGCGCCTCTTCACTTGCGGAAGAGCTCGTACTATCCGGGATTCCGAACGTGGACTGCTTACACGCGGGAATGACAAACAAAGAGCGAGAAGATGCCATCAGTAGGATGCGCAGTGGTGAGAGCTGGGTCATGGTCACTACCGAGGTCATGGCAAGAGGCATGGACTTCAAGGGTGTGAGAGAGGTAGTCAACTATGACTTCCCGCAGAGTGTGCAAAGCTACGTGCATCGGATAGGTGACTCGGTCTCGACTATCTAGCTCATGTTTACTAAATGCTGATTACAACGGCTCCCGTCAACAGGTAGAACGGGCCGTGCGGGTAGGGACGGGAAGGCCATCACCTACTTCACAGACCAGGACGCACCGTTCCTCAAAACGCAAGGCTTTTCATTTCGCTTTCTGCCGAGCGATGCTGATTGTGCCTCTCAACCTCTTGCAGAATCGCAAACGTTATTCTACAGTCGGGCTCGACGGTTCCAGAATGGGTGCTCAAGTTGCCTAAGCCTTCAAAACTAAAGCGTCGGGAGATGGGTAAAATTAAGCGCGCAGACACAGTCAACAGTGCACGACGAATAGGTCGCGCGGACGCGATCAAAAAACGGTGTGTAACGATAGCGTTGTGCCACTCATCCTCATTGCCATCGGGTTGAGTTCTGTATCATTGAACGGAACGCTGATGGACCACGATAGGGATATGATTGCGGGTTCAAAAAGGAGGAAGGAGAAGGCTGGAACCCATGAAAATACTCAGCGCTCAGGTGATGGTGAGGGGGGGAGTGAGGCTGGAGGTGATGTGCAGCAGGGTTTGTGACGAACGAGAGTATAGGAGTTATCACATCCCATGGCGGAACGCTCATCACTCGGCCTATCTCGGAGTGGCACTATGGCAAAACACACGATGTTACTGTTTGTGAGTACATGTGTGCTGTGTGAAAGCAGCGTTTGTGTACGCCTTCTCCAAGTGTGGATCGAGCGAAGCGCTTTGTCAAATGGCACGACAGTAGCTCGGTATTGTCTCTACCAGCAGTGGGATGTTGATTATTCTGCTTATTGTTCCAAGAGTCCAACTCAGGATGGTGTGGGCGAACACAACTGCTTGTCGATGCGTATTGTGTGAAAAGTTGACAAGGATCTACAAACCCGTAACTATTCCAAACGTCCGACTTCCAGCTCTAGCCTTACTCAAGGATGCCATGAGCAGTCAGATACGCGAGTGGCAAATGAGCTGAGACAATACGGACGTGGATGTTGTACATGTCTGCTGACAGGACGAGGATTAAAGGGTGCGAGTGGCAGCCTATGATAGTTGACTGTGGATGTCAGGGATGGGAAGTAGTAAGTCTAGTGAACAGCACGATGAAAGGTGATTGTGAGGCTGGAAGTACGTCGAACAGGCACATTTTAATATGTGATCCTCAGAGTGTGCTGCGAGGATGTGACGGTAGAATCGACACGCTCTCCCAACTGGGCTAGCTTGTACATGTCTACCACATAACCGCACGCTCCGACAAAATAGGCGTGAGTCAGAGTCGCAATCATTCGCCAGAATAGAGGCCATCTTGCAGAGAAAATACTGGCAAACCGTCAGCAAATTCGAACCGTAGGAGTAGCTGAGAAAAACTTAGAGCCTTACGTACTGCGCTGGAAACTTAGAAGGTGACTCGAGCTTATCGGTCTTGGAAATGTCGCCCAAAACAAAAGCCACCTTTGTTGTCAACCACCACGACCACCAACGGCATGGGCCACTAAGCTTAAGACCCTGACTGCGTTAGAATGTAGGGGTCCGGGACGACGAATTTTCACGGAGTTGCAAGCCAAGGCCCTCCATTCTGTTGCCGAAAGGGAAGGGATTCGATCAGCGGTCGCTTCACTCCTCATGTCTGGCATGAGGCTGATTCAACTGCTGTCTCCGCACGAAGAGTGGAATAACGACACTCGATATTCGTTTTAAAAGGGGACTTGAAAAGGCCTGAGCTCGAAGAGGCACAGAGCCAGGTCTCTGAATCACTTCGAGCTCCAGCACTCTTTCAATCCTCACGCTTGTCCTACTTCAGCTGCAATGCCAAACTTTCGTAATGTCCCACCCATTCGTCGTTCTCGCCGACTGTCGAATCGCCCGCCGCCTGTCGATCCTGGTTCGTATATTTGCTCAACGTTTGCGTTTGTGGGTCCATCGCTGAGCGCTGTTGACAGAGTACGAAGATTACGACTTGGATCAGCTTCAGTTGTTGTATCCAGGCGAAGCCGTTCCTCACTCTGCATCCATCGAAATTGCCACTCAGTATACAACAGCCACTCCCGCCGACATCTCCCCCGCTGTTGGAACATCGTCTGATGAGGGCGTTGACGTGGAGGCAGCTGCGTTCGTCCCTCGCTCTTCTCATTCGCGCAGGCGCAAGGAAGGCCACATCCCACGCCCTCCTAATGCATTCATGCTATTCCGCTCCCACCTCTGGGCTGAGCGGAAGATCCCTGAGCGCGACCATCGTCAGATCAGTCGTATTGCTGGAAATGTCTGGAACAAGATGAGCCCCGAGCAGAAAGGGCCATTCCAGGAGCGGGCTGTACAAGAGAAGGAACGACACGCCCAGCTTTACCCCGACTACAAGTACGCTCCTGTCTACAAGACTAAGGCGGGGAAGAAAAGGACCAGAAGGGATGCCGACGTCGATAAGACGCGTTGCAAACGGCTTGCCGATCTACTGTGTCAGGGCGTTGAAGGGCGCGACCTTGAGCAGGTCGCTTCCAAGATAGATGAGGAGGCGGAGGATTCTAATGCTGGCCCTGACCGTGTTCAACACTCTCGCCGCGCGATGCATAGGGCACATAGCCCTTACTCTTATACTACCCGCCAACGCGCTGGTCCCTCCCGGTCCCGCGATATTGCAATGAAGCAGCCGAAGTCCATACCCTTTGATGTGGCCAGGTCCCCAGCACCGGAACCGACTTCGCCTGTAGTCAAGCCTGAGGTCGTGGCGACCCCACAGTTCTCTTACCCTCCTCTGCCTGAAGAACTTGCACCTCGGTCGTACGTCGCCACCGCAGACATCCCTCCCTTGAACCTCTCGGGTGATGCTAACCAGGTAAGAGAATGTTATCTACAGCAACGTTGAGTGCTCTTATATATTTGTGCAGCTCGCTTCTCTCGAACTCTTTCAAACCGTGGGCGATAGCTACTATCATCCTCCCGAGATGCTGCCTGCTCTGGGCGGTCTGAAGCCTGATGCAAGCAGTCTCGTTTCGTCCATGCTGGAGCATGAAGAATTCCTGTTGACCGCCGGGATGTCTCCTGCGGAGTCCTTGTCGTCGCCGTCTTCATCCTCATCAACCGTCTCTCCTCCTATGGCGTCGGGCTTCGATTTGAAAGCAGAGCCCGACACGTACGGCAACGCCTGCGCGACTCTGTTCAACAATCCCTGGGATCCAGCTTCGTCTTCTACTCCGAACTACTCCATGCTTCTCAA